GGGGCAATCGGTGGGGAGCAGGAGGAGCGGTGCCAGGGAAATTCGATTCTCTGTTCCCTTGTGTCTCCAGAGCCTGAGCTGTGAGTCAGGGGAGTGTCACACCCCGGGGGTGGTAGCAGGTCCTGGAGCCCAAATTGGGGAATGGGGTGGGGGAAGGTCCCAAATATTTTCCTGTAGTCTGAAGTGTGCTGGGAAGCGGGAAAGTTCCATGTCTTCTGGCGCTGGGAAAGGCCCAGGGGCTCATTTGGCACCTGTGTGAGGCAAGGTCCTGAGGGAATCTAAGTGTCCCAGGGAATATAAGCATCTCCTGGTTAGGTTTGCTTGGAGAACTGGAAAGGAAGCCAGGAAGAGTCCAGGGAAAGGGCTGGAAGTGCACCTGCACCTGAGGGTTCCTCTTGCTCCTCAGATTTTAAATCAGGAATACTTGGTCAGAGATGAGTTGGGATGGTGATGAGGGTGGAAACCTCATTTGGGGTAAAAAAGTCACTTTTGGTCCTTAAACCTGGAACTCTGCCTCTTCACAGCATTCTTCAGGCCTGGCAGCATTCCTGGGGGAGTCCAGAGCCATATTCCCCATTCCTACAGCTCCAAAATTGACATCTTTATGTGGTATTTGTGCCCAAAAGCTTTCTGGGAACCTTTGGGCTGGTGTGTGGGTGTTGTGCACCTGAAGCCTCATTGCCAGCTTCCCGCTTGTTTTTCCTGGCAGGATTTAGGGCCAAATCACTGAGCACAAACCATACAATTAATTAATTTAATTATTGCTGCAGCATTGCTAGATATTCCAGCTCCTAACTGTTTTTTTGGGGGGAATTTGAAGCCGGAAATCCAAGGTACTCCCATTCCCTGTGCTCAGCTGCGAGCTGGGATGGGGAGCTTGGAGCTGTCAGGCTGATCGAGTCAGTTTTGGGAGGAAAAGGAGAACGCTTTGGTGGATTTTGGCCGTGGGACTGTCTGGAGATGAGACCCTGGGACTTTTCCTGTTGTTTTCCAGCTTCCTTTGGGATTTTGAGCCTCTCCCAAGCTCTGAGCTGAGGAGGAGGCAGCAACCTTGGAGAGAAAATATTCAACTCCCCAAGTAAATCTCTTGTCCCTTCCTGCTGGAATAATTGCCATTGTTTGCTTCGTCTGTCGGCAAGGTGTTGGCTCATTTCCAAGGATTTGAGTTGAGGTTGTGACAGGGACGTGCGCACGGCCTAACTGTGCTGATCCAGGATTTACACCTCGCATCCAGCCCCACCTCCTGGAGAGCCTCTGGGCAGTCACCCTGCTCCGGGCACTGCTCCGGTGTTGGGTGGAATCTGGTTCCCCAGGAGCTGCTTGGAAGAACAGGTGGAGCTGGAGATGAGGAGAGCGACCCTGGCATGGGAGATGGAAGGGCTGGGTGCCCGAGGAGCAGCTCTGTGGATGGCAGGGAATAAAAGGGGGCTGTTTTTTGCCTTGGATGTGAGGTTTTGCTTTGCTCTTGGATGAATCTGAAATGCACACACACACCTCCCCAAGCTCTGCCATGGCTTTTTGGGACAGCTTGGTGCTCCATGGTGCAATTTGTCCTGGGTTTCTGGTGTCTACCAGCATTAATCAAGGGAATATGGATGATTTTGGAACCATCCCCAGCCTAGACAGCAGCAGACCCCTCTCTTCCTGCCTCCACGTGTAGTTAACTCCCTGGGGAAACACCCAAAGGGGATTTTTCTCATTTTACTCCTTCACTTGGAAGCAACATGTGCCTGAAAATGCTGGTGCAGGATTGGAGGTGTCGGTGCTTTGGGTTTGGAGTCTGAGGGAGTTTGTGGTCTCTGTGTCCTCAGGCCCTTCCTTGGGGCCGCGGACAAAAGAATTCCTCTCAAAATGCCTCAAGGCCTGAGCTGGGAGCAGAGTCCTGAATGGTGAGCCCTTAAAATAGGTGTGAGCACCCAAATTTCTGCGGGACTGACAAATCCTGATCCCACTGCTCAGCAAGAGGGAGGATAAGTTTATTAAACAGCAACATCTGAGAGGCTCATCAGCCTCATGCCTAAAATAGGTCTGTAAAGTGACTCCAAACCCTGCTCTGGGGTAAAAATCCCTTTCTAAATGGCTCATCAGCTGGAAAGTGGCTGTGGGTGGCACAGGTTGGTGCTGTCAGCTGGGAAAAACATGCCGCGGGCGTCCGCCCCCCCAACCAGCCACTTGGGTGGTGTGGGACGCCCAAAGCTCCTTTTGCCTAACCTGAAGATGAAAGGTCTGGATGGAAGAAGACTAAAAGTGGGAATAAATGGCAGAACAGGAGGTGGAAAGTGAGTGAGAATCCTGTGGTTTGGGGCATGCTCCAATGACCTGGAGTCTCATTTCCTGAATTCTCACCGAATTTCCCTTTGGGAAGTGAATTTGCTCCTCCCTTCCCTTGCTCTGCTGTTTATTGTAGTGAGAGGCCACTCGGGGGTTGATTCCTCCCACCCCCCCCCCCGGCCCTGGAAAGCCTTGTTTTCAGATGAAGATGGATTAGTGCTGGTGTTCTGTTTCCCTCTGCTCCTCCTGAGCTTCCTTTCCCAGGATTTGGGCTTCCTTTTCCCCAAATGAGGTGTCAGACTAATTTTTGCCCTTTTTGGATGTCGCTAACAGAAGTGATTAAACGTTCCCTGTGTCCCTGTGGACGCTGCTGGGTTTAAGTAGCTGATCACTCCCAGGGAATCTTAAAGCTGACCTAAATCCATGTCTTTCGGGAAAGGATTGTTTGTCTTCCCCCAAATTAAGAAAGAGGAAGGATGCTGATTGGGGTTTCCGACATCTTCCAGGGCAGGAATTGCCATCACGTATCCCAGAAAGTGGTCTTGTCCCAAAAGCCCTCAGCAAAAATTAGTTTGGCCCCTCTTCTCTTGGGAAACTTGAGATAACCTTCTTCCTCCGCTCCCTGAGGTGGATTTTTGGGGAGCAGCAGGGCATGGCTGTGGCCAAAAGGTTTTGGGAAGGGATAGCAGGCTGGAAAAGCTGGAATCACTCTTTGCTGTATCAGGCTTATGGGGAGGGATGGTGTCCCTGTCCTGGGCACTCTTGGCTGAGCTTAAGCTGGCTGCTGGTTTGTGGTGTAGACAGGCATCAGCATCATCTAATGGTAGGTTTTTTCCCCAAAGACCTTCAAGATGGGAATCCAAGCCTAACACATAAAACTGGATGTCTCACCTCATAGTTATTTATCATCACAGAAGTTGCAAAAATCCCTGGGTTTGCTCTCAAGGAGGAGAGTTGATGTTTCAGCCTTCCAGATTCTAATGAATAGGTGGCAATTAATCTATGCAAAGCTGTGTGACTCTGTGGAAGGCAGGGAAGTTGCTCCAGAGGTGTTGCTGAGCAAGGTCAGGGAGAGCTGGAAGCCAGGTGAGGTGAGCAGGGTGGACCCTAACTGGGGGCACCATCACTAACCTGGTTTTTGGCTGGCAGGGGTGAGCAGAACAACATTTCCTCATAGTCTGGCAGGAATCCTGTGTGCTGTTAGAGGAGAAATCAGCCATGAGTCAGTGCCTTTGCTTCAGAACTTTTGTTGGAATGAGGCGGCGCGTCAGGCTGTTTTGGGATGCGTCATGATTAACCCTTCCTGAGTGTGCCTTTTTTCTCTCAGCAGGATCATCTACCTTCAAAAAGTCACTCACCCCCGAGGTAAGTGTCTGACTGACAACCTAGGTTGTTCACTGCCTGAGAGAATCCCTAATTTAAGCTTTTCTACTCTTTTTTTCAAGTCAGTGTTAAACCAGGCAGTGCTGAGTATACCAAGCTGCAGGTACTCATTTGGGCAATTAGAGTATTTACCCTTCCCAAGGGAATTTCATCTTAAACCCCCCACTCTGTCCTGGAACTGAACGATTCTTGTGCCACCAAAGCCCTGTGGAGCTCCTGCCATGTCTCTTTGACGCTCCTGGTGACTGGGAAACACTAGTTAACAGCTGTTGGACATAAGAGATGAGTCAGTCGACTGCTTGGGCCATGAATCACTGTAGGATTTGCTACCTTCCTAAAATTCTTCCTCGAAGCTTGGAATTACTGGCAGAAAGCACAGTGACTGATTGTGTTGGTTCAGGCTTGTTTAGAGGTGATCTGTTTGTGATGATGATGATGATGATTGGGAAGAACCCAAACCCTTCCAGTTGGTTCTGGGCAGCCCAAACCCTCTCTAACATTGAGTTTTCCATGCTTGACTCTTACTGTCTTTCCTCTATCCCTAGATGCCAGGTGGATCTGGGCAACCAGGTTTACAGACCATAAAGAAAGGGCACAGAGGAGTGGATTCCACAGGGGAGACTACCTATAAAAAGGTAAGCTACCTCCTTCACAACTCATTTATTCTCCTCTCTGCAAAGGAAGTGTATCCAGAGCCACATCACATCACTCGGGACAGTGTGGGAGGGTGGGTGATGTCTGTGGCAGTGGCTGAAGGAGATTCCAAAGATGAAAGAATTGGATATGTACTTTCAGCTGCTCTTCTACAGCCTCTGAAGAGAGGGTTATTTTTAAACTCCACTTCCCAGGCCCATTCTGGCCTGCTGGGTGCTTCCTGTGCTCCTTGGACACAATAGTTCCTACAGATCCTGTGGCATGGCTGGAATTTGCTGTACAAAGAGGATATTGAGAGTTTATAAACCCCTGGAAATGTGAATGTTTTGTAGGTGTTGCTTTGTGGGTTTGCTGGACTCGATCACGTTTGGATGATGTCTTTGCAGTGAGGTTGATTTGCGGATGTGTATTAAATGGATATTAGCTGGATACAGGCGTTTCACAGTTTTATCTGAAATCCCTAATCCAGATTGAAAATCTGACATCTCTAATCCAGTGCCTCCATATGCTGGGATCAGGGTGAAAGGGAGGAATTCACACGGTGTTTCCACACATACCAGCTTTTTTAAGCTGTCTTCAGGATTGGGATCTGGCTTCTAGTTTCCCAAGAGTTTCAGAGGTTAGACAGCAATAACAGGAGAGAAAAGCGCATGGAAAATACTTTGCAAGGCTCCCAGAAACCTGATGGGACAGTGCATGGGATTTATCTCAGAATGAAACTCACAGATAGTCTGTCTGGTTTTCTTCCTGTGTTTTTCCAGTTGTCTTTTGAAATTCTTTGCCCTGGAAAGCAGTTGTAACCAAGCAGGCAGCAGGGATCAGCTCTCCCTGTGCACTCCCGGGGCTCACAGAAGGGATCAGATCCCCTCAAGATCTCTCTGTTCTGGGAGCTTACAGGCCATGTAACATTGGGGTGCTGAGCAGATCCCAAGTGTGCTGGGAAGGTCATCCCATTGCACAAGCTGGGCTCGAGCATCTCAGTGGGCTGAGATGAGCTCATGAGAGGGAAGAGGACTCTGGGTGTGAGTAGCTGTTCCAAGAACAGTCCCACTTTGTTCCTGGGCAGTTTGTTGCAGGGGCTGCAGGAGCAGTATTCATGGGTTTGCTTCTTATTTTAGGGTTAAGAGCCATGACCTAGCACTAGAGGCTGACGAGGAATGTGGTAGCACCAACTAAGTGTGTGTTGTGTGTCTTGTCCTGTAACAAACCTGAGTCTGTGCCCAAACTGGGGAAGGACAAGCTTAAAAATGTGTGGTTCCAAGACCCAGGTGACAGGAAGTGTTTGTGTTTATGGGGCGGAAGAAAATCTGTCCCTGGATACCTTCCTCCTCTGACTGCAGAATGTAGGGGTGAGTGCTGTGGGAAGACAAGATGGAATTCAAGCCTTTTAAGGACTAGCTGGATGCTGGTTCCAGTTCAGGCCCTTTACTCCTGGTAGCTGGATCAGGAAGTGTAAAACACCTCAGCTAACAGTGCTGGATCAAGCTGGGGTCTCTCTTTAACACCTCTCACTCCTATTTTCAGTCTGCTGCTTCATGTTGTCTAACTCATTTTCTCTGCCTTTCCAGACAACTTCTTCTGCCTTAAAAGGTGCCATTCAGCTGGGCATCACCCACACAGTTGGAAGCTTGAGCACCAAACCTGAAAGAGATGTCCTCATGCAAGATTTCTATGTAGTAGAAAGTATTTTCTTCCCAAGGTTGGTGTTTGCTTCTCTCTGTGGTGCTTGCAAAGTTGGGAGCACCAACCTCATTGCTGTACACAACTTCCTCATGAGGGGAAATGGAGAGGCAGCACCGATTTCTGCTCTCTGTGACCAGTGGCAGAACCCAAGGGAACAGCTGAGCTGTGTCAGGGGAGGTGTAGTTTGGACATCAGGAAAAGGTTCTTCCCCCAGATGGTGGTTGGGCACTGGAATATTTCCCCAGAGAGCTATTACAGTGCCCCAAGCCTGCCAGAGCTCAAGGACAATGCTCTCAGGCACAGGGCTGGGGTTGTTAGGGCTGTGCAGGGCCAGGAGTTGACTCCATGATCTCTGCGGGTCCCTTGCAGCTCAGGATACTCTGTGACTCTGTAACCAGCGGTGTTTGCTTTTTAAGGCAGTTTGTCATTAAATATTCCAAACTGACACTTGTGTATGCTTCTCCCCTCGCGCAGTGAAGGCAGTAACCTGACCCCAGCTCATCACTACAATGATTTTCGGTTCAAAACTTACGCTCCAGTGGCCTTTCGCTATTTCCGGGAGCTGTTTGGGATCCGACCGGATGACTACCTGGTGAGTGATGGTTGGAACAGGTTGCCATTTGTTGGGTGATGGATGTTTGTCCTCTTCTCCCTCACAGTGAGACCACGGCAAGCTCTGCAGGCAGCAGTCAGTGTTGGTGACCCTGAGCTTTGCCTC